GTGCGGCTCGGTGCGCGCTCCCGGGGGCGGTGCGGCTCGGTGCGCGCTCCCGGGGGCGGTGCGCGCCGCCGCCGCCGCCCGCTGTCACTTTCGCTTCGGCGCCCGCGGTGCGGGCCGCGCGTGCGGAGGATGCTCTACCGGACACGTAAGTGGCGGGCGCGGGACGGGGACAGGGGGACGCGGGTCAGGCGGCGGGGCTGCGGGCACGTCCTGCCGCTCCGCTGCCTCCCTTCGCGCTGTGTTTGCAGGGAGACACCGGCCGCGCCGGCGGGRACGGAGCCGGCCACAAGTGTCCCCTCGTATTTCCGTGAGCACAAAGAGAACTTGCTAGGGGAGCTGCCTGCTTCGTCCCCAAGAGACCCAGCCCTGCTCCGCTGTGGGGAATTTGTTTTGYGATTTAGCTGTGGATAAAGGAAGGAACGGCTGCCATGGCAAGGGTAGCGTTTAATAAATAAAGGAATTCAATTAAGGGAAGCCAATCCGGTCAGCAGGGGAAGCAGTCACGGCTTTTGCAAGGAGCGAACCAGGAAACGCGGCRCTGCCCTGCGCGCTGGGAGGACGCGGCCGTGGCCGCTCGCACTGAGTGGGGAGACRGCCCTGCACCGCGTCCCGTGTCCCGGGATGGCACCGGGCTCCGTGGCGGAGGCAGGGAAGTGCCGCTCGCCCCGGGAGCGCTGCTGGATGGTGCACGGGGTCCCGCTCCCACCAAGGACGTGTCCCCTTGGGGCGTCCCCCCCAAATGGGCCATGTCCCCAGCACGTCCCCGTGTAAAGGACACACAGGCCAGACGTGCCCCGCTCCTGAGGAGGAGATATATTTAACCTCTGGTTCTTGTTTCATTATCTGAGGCTATAGGCCACAAATAGCTGTCTCCAGGCTCGCTGATAAACACCCTGGCACCCTTGAATGGTCGGGATTCCACTTCCATTTCCCATGTAGTGCTTGGAAACGCTGTCTGCTAAAAATTACTTGGGAATTTGTATGGCAGATTTCTACCTGTGGCCCATTGAGAGCCAAAGTTTTTGGTTTTCTGCTGCAGACACTCACAGAGGCTCCAGGGACTTTTTTAGCAGGGCACAAAGTGCTGTGAATTGCCAACGGTCTAAAGTGACCATAAAAGCAAGTCCTTGGCATGTCACACTGCTATGTCACTACTACACAGCACCTATTGCTGTGATGCTTTTATAAACCCATGAAATCCTCTTAAAAAAAGAGAGATGAAAGGAGTCATAAAATGACAGTTTCCTTTTCACAAGGTGCCTGTTTCTGTAACTRTAACACATTGCCAAGAATGACTGTGATACTGTCACGATCAAGGTCTCGATCAAAGTCTCTGTGTGCAGTAATAATTACTTTAAAAATCTGTTTTCTAACACATTTTTCATGTCATTTGGAAAATGTGGATCCCTCAAGCCCAGCAGAACAAGCTGAGGATGCTGACGCTTCACCCACCTTCCCAAGGAGACCTGCCATAATCACCACAGGAGTTTGAAATATTAAAAATGTTTCCATGAGCTTTCTTTCTACCTTCATATGCTTCATAAGGATAAAGAAGCTCTTGTATTTGTAGCACAAAGGTAGGGATGAGCATTTGCTAGGGCTAGTGCTGCTGGCAGCGCATCCCTGGTGCTGCCCTGTTGCTCGGACTCTACCGCAACCTTCGTCTCCTCCAGACAAACTTTGCTGCAAACAGTTTCACACTTTTGGCACAAGTCACAACAATGAAGCGTCTTTGCCTTACTACAAACCTAGCTTTCCCAATACATTAAAAAACACGAAATTTTGGAATAAAAAAAAAAAGGTAATAGCAGCAGTAATAAAAAATATATTTGTTCCCTTATCACGATTTGCAAACCTACAGGCTGAGCTTTGTTTCTTAGTCTATCAGTGAATGCTGTAGTTTCCTTCATATCTTGTGGGGTTACTAAGTGCTTATGGAATTTTGTGCAAACAGGGGCTTTTGAAATACAGCAATTTCTTTGCACTCCCTCTGTCGTGAAGCTCGTGTATCCCCGCTAACGAACCGCCTCAGCACGGGTGTTTCTTGGCTTGAAAGCAGTCATCCTTTCCCCTCGGGGCCAAATAACTATCAGTCTAACTTGCCTTACACACTCGAGCTGCAGTTAAATGAGGGTGTGCAGTTCTGCAGTGCTAACAACAGAAAGTGYCGTGTGACTGTGCATTGCATACGTATATTGGGGAAAAAACGCGGAAACGCCGCGTGGGGCAGCTGAGACGCTGCAGGAAGTGATTGCTTCCCTCCTAATTGTGCAATTAAGGGTTTAGGGCTCTGGTAATTAGCGGCCCTGGGGAGGGGCGGTGCTGGCGGGAGGCGGGCCGGGCCGGGCCGGGCTCGGCTCGGCTCAGCTCAGCTCGGCTCGGCTCAGCTCAGCTCAGCTCAGCTCAGCTCAGCTCGTACGGCCGCCCCGGCATCAGGAGGGGCTGGGACCCGGGATGGGCCGGATCGACACCATGGCAGGTAGGCGTGCAGTGGGCATGGGCCTGGATTAGCACAAAGAGCATGATAAAGTATCAGGGAGATTTTAATATTTTGCTAGTTATTTTTTTTTCTTTCTTCTATTTTTAGTAGTGGTTTCAGATGAGAGGGGGGTTCTGACTTTGTTGTGAAAGGCTCTGCAGCTGCTCCGTGCCGGCCGGGCAGTGCCGTGCGGGTGCTCGGGGCTGGGCGGGAGGCACCGTGTCCTCAGACTCGGCATCATCCTTCCCATCCTGCAGTTGACCTTCGGCTGCCTGCCCGTTCCCCAACGGGATAAGCTCAGACCGCTGCTCTGCARCCAGATTTCCTCTTACAAGAAATCCGCAGCATGTCTTTTTTGGGTCCTTGAAAGGAGGAAGCCAGATGCTAAATTACTATAAAAACTTGCATTTTGTTAAAGGAGTTTTTTTTCATTGTTTTCGTGARGTTCCTCAGCGGGGAGTTTGCATGGACACACACGCACCACTGGCTATGGGCCTTCAGATTCAGGTGCCAGGCTGTCTTTGGGCAGGGCCYGAGCATTGTCCAGTCGCGTTTTGGGGAAGGTGCAGCTTGTGCTTGAGTTACTCGCTAGAGACAGCAGGAGTTCATGGAGCTGTTTGCTCCTTAAGTGCTTCTATGGAGAACATGGATGAGCTGCACTGGGGTCTGTGCCTGCTGTATCTCCATTTATGTGCTTGGCATCATCCTGTCTATTTGCTCAGTGAATCGAAGGAGGCTTTTAAGGGGAGAGCAAATGGAAGATGAGCCTGTAATAAAGATAGAGTGGTGCCAGAGAGGGCATCAGGCCCCTCAGATAAATATTGCTGGAGTTAGGCGTTGGAAGCGGATACCCGCATGGAGGGAGGCCTCATGCAACCCATCCCGCAGGAGGGTGCGGAGGGAGCGACGCGGTCGCCTGGCCCTGCCTGTGGAGCAGGGAGCTCCCTGCATCTGCCCGCGGAGAGGAGGAGTTTGGGAGCACCCAGCCAGCCAATGCCTGGCCTTGGGCATGCTCCGGGGAATTAGCTACTGTTTGKTTTTTTTTATTTTCAAAAAAATATTTTAATTAATTGCTGATTGTGGGCCTACAGATTTGAAGTAGAGCCGTGTTTGATCTAATGTACTCAATAAACGTGAGGTGGTGCTCTCTGTGCTCAGCCAAGTCCCCCTTTCCACCAGAGAAAAGCGGTAGCAGTGAAGGGTATTTAGAGGTGTTAGACGCCCAGCAGTGCTGCCAAGTTCAGCAGTTAAGTGATCCTGGCTCCCAGGCCTGGGAGAGGATCAGTCTGGGTTCCTTCTAACACAGGTGTGACTTCTGCTTAAAAATAAAGGCTTCTTAGTGTAAATATTTTAAATTTCCCTTGCAGTAACTCTAGACTYTTTGAGGCAGTGAGATAAAAGATGGATATACAAAACATGCCAAGGCACCACTCCCCAAAGTCTCAAGACTTGAAAACACATCAGCCACAATTGTGAAGTTATTTGCTTGGTGTTTCCTTTAAAATGTAAATAATGGGTGTGTTCAATATTAAAAAGCTGGCACTGTATGCCCAATGACTATAAAACTTCCTAGCACGGACACAGAATGAGGGGAGAGCTGGGGCTGGCAGGGACCTCTGGAGATCGTCTGCTCCAACCCGTGCTCCAGCAGGGTTACCTAGAGCCTGGACCATGACCAGGTAGCTTTGGAGCGTCTCTGAGGATGGAGACCCCACAGCCTCTCTGGGCAACCTGCCTAGAGACTGGTCACCCTTGCAGCAAAGAGGCTTTTCCTCGAAATCAGTCAGAATTTCCTGGGCTTTAGGCTGTACTGTTGTCCTTTATCTTGTCACTGGGCACCACTGGGAAGAGTATCACCCTTATCCACCAGGACTCCTGGGTCCCTCTTGGAGCTGTTGGCCCTGTCTGTGCCAGTGCCTGGGGCAGCTGCTGCCGTGYTCGCTGTGCTCATTTGTGTGGCGAGTGACCCATAAGGTGCAGCCTGCACAGTCACCCKCTCCTGGGGGTGCTGCAGTGGCCCACGCCGCCACCACGGTCCCCTGTCCCACAGGGCACCAGAGCGAGCGGCGCTGGCCAGGCAGGGTGGCCCGGGGCGGCGCTGGGGCTGTGCTCTGTCGATATCCTTATCGCCCCGAGCAGCCCCGCGTGTCCCCTCTGCAGCTCCCTGCTGTTAATGCAGTAGCCAGGGTGCTGCTTCCCTGCTGCCACTGCCCCCTTGGTCTGCTAGGACCCCCACACTGGGAGAGGAAAGGGATTTCAGGAGATGTGCTCTATTGGGAATGGCTCTTGCTCTGCGCTTGCTGAGTCAGAGTGGAGCTCGATACCCTCTGTGCAGGTATCGAGGTTAAACCTTGAGCCTCATCCCTAGTCCTGAAAGGAATTAACTTGGAGGAGGGGAAGGTCCAGGCAGGTGGAAAGTTGCTGTGGAATYGGAGCAATGAGCAAGTGACTTGAAAGGGACCACTTATAAATGGACTATTCTATGGGATAGAAAAGCTTCTTCCTGGTGTTTGAGTTAAATACTGTTTTATCCATAGGAGCCAAAACCTTGCAGCATCTTCAGGCAGAGGCAAAGAGCATCGTCTTGTCCTTTCTGCAGCCTTTGGCTTAGRCGGGAAGGGAAGGGGGCTGCCCAGCAACCTCAGACCAGCTCCTGCTGCCCAGCACTGCTGGTAGAACTGGAGTGTGTGGCTCCCCTGCGGCAGCACGGTGGGCACAGTGTGATGGCAGCTTGATGGCAGTGCCCCTCAGCAGAAAGGGCAGTATCTGCGTGGCAGGAAGATGACGGGACCTGAACCACGACCATGTGCTGGTCCTGGTTAGCTCAGCTGCTGCAATCGCAGCTAGTGCATCAGCGCCGCCTGCATCAGTGTGACTGGGATCAGGGATGGAGGTGACTCCTCGGGCTTAATTTTATTTTACTTTCTAGGAAAATGTAACTTACTCATAGTGTACACTTGCTGTTTTTTTTTTTTTTTCTTTTTCTTCCTGAATGCTGCAGTGTTGCCCGAAGTTTTGGTTATCCTGAAGTTGTTGACTGAGGTGCTTGAGGTGCTGAGCCTGAAGCTTAGTTGTTCTGCCAGCTGTGACACCTGGGTGTAATATATGTAACATATTGCAAGCTTGCAGTATGCAACAGAGTTGTGCGGGCTGTGCAGTCTTCCACTCAGCACATTGCTAAGAGGCCACCGAGGAGGACTGCATTTTCTTCTGCGTCTTCTGCAAATAGCAGGGCAAAAGGTGCTGGCAGTTGTGCATTTTCTGGTGGCTCAGGTACCCGAAAACTTGTGTGCGCCCTTTGCACAGAGGCATTATTTTGATTTTTTTTTTTTTGTTTTGTTTGTTTCTTTTCTTGTTTTCCTGTGCTTGGGTAAAATGTGCAGGATGCTGTTCCCATTTCCACATGGGAATGCTGTGCATATCGCTGGAGATTCCACGTAGGCAGCGTGATGTTGTGTTAGCACCAAGTTGCTTTGGTTCCTCCAGCCACCAGCTGGGACTTTGCGTTTATAAATGAGACAAAATGGACCTGCAGCTCCTGGAGCACCCAGCCTGTATTTCATTTCCCTAAAGCATGGCTCTAAAGTTGGCTTTAAAAGGTTAGGTGGTGATAACACTTTTATATTTCCATTTTTAGCTGCTGCTAGGAAAAGTGAAAGTTGCCAAAGGTAAAAGTGAGTTTGCTGATTAATCACCGTGTTTTGTTTTCTGTGTTGTTTTTACCCCCAGATCAGTCGTACTGCATTCGGCTGCAACATGACATGTATTTCCTTACAAGCAATAGCCGACTGAACGAGCAAGTTGTGGATAAAATTATTCTTCAGCTTAACAGAGTCTACCCCCAAATTCTCACCGATGCAGAAGCAGAAAAGGTAAGTTAGTGAACTTTGCTGTGTTCCTGTGTGTTGTGCTGCTTTCCCAAAGCTCACCTGTGTTTGCAGGACAGTGTCCTGAATAGAAGCGTGAGCTTGAGCTGCATGGGCCAAGCAGGGATTCGGTGGCATACAGGCACCGTGCTGGATCATCAGCAGTGCCGCAGTAGCCACAGGGTTATGAAACAGCTGAATGTGCTCAGTTAAAGGAAGTCTCAACTCRTTAAGAGCTTCAGAATAAATGGACTGGGACTTTATCAAACCCAATTGGTGACTTRCAGACAGAAATCAGCTGCTTTCCTGCAGGTCCACACATACTTCTGTCTGGAATTTTGTTGAAATAAGCAGTATTGTATCAGAAATGCTTTACTGCTGCCCTCCTTGAGAGGGAATTGATCCTAACGAAGTGCCTGTTAGTGTTATCTACTCTGCTGGCTGGAAATACYKYGCTTTGCTGAGAGTGTTTTTGGACWCTTTCCAGCTTAGGTGCAATCAGTTTGATGAGTGGAAGGCTAGGTGCATCTTCTCCCTCCTTGTAAGGACTCCTAGTGCTCAACACTTTTCAGGCTATGTATAAATATATGTGTATAAATATTAGATATACGTGTGTGTGTGTATGGTGCTTTTCCATTTCCCCATCCTTCTAACAACCATAGAACCAACTCCAAATCCTCCACGAAGTGACAGGGAGCTGAACTCCAGGGGGTGATGCCTCCTCACGGGTGCTTTTCTCCCGCAGTTCCGGAATCCGAAGGCATCGCTCCATGTGCGGCTCATGGACTTGCTGAAGCACMTTCAGAAGAACGGGGAGCGACACTGCCAGGAGTTCTACAGGGCTCTGCAGATCAACGCCGAGCACCTCTATAACGACCTGCCCAGCAGGAAAATCCTCAGTAAGTCGAGGCACCTGTAGTTTCATTGTGTGTTATAAAAGCACATTTCAGAGGCATTCCTGTTTAGTTCATTTAAATATCTTTGGAAGCATTAATTCCTGCTGATTAGAAACTTCGAAAAGCAGTAAGGGCATTTGACTGCACTGTTCCTGGTATTTGTTGACTGGCATGGGCTGTCCACATTTGTGTGGTCCTGGGATGCCAGCCTGTGTCTTTAAAATACAATTTAAACACCATGTGCAGGACACAGAAAAAATAACTCATACGAAGTACAGTTTATTTTTACTAACCATTGCTCCTTAATAGGGTGTTCATTTTCTCTATCCTGCTCTCTGTTTGTAGCTATCTGTGCTCTGCAAATGAGTTGATTTGATTCTATATGCTGCAAAGCAGCTCTTTGGAAAGCAACAAAGCCTTCCCCCTTGACATAACAGTGCCCTCTTGAGATGATAATGCTTGTGGGGTTTTTTTGTTTGTTTTTTTTCTTTAATTTTTTTTTCTTAGCTGGAGAGCAAAATTGCATGCCAAAGGGATAGGAAATAAGTAAATAAGTTGAGGTATTCAGTATGTTGAACTGACTCATGTTGCTTGAGGGAGCTCTGGCAATTAAGTTAATGAAGCTGCAAAGGGGCTGTGGCTTAAGAAGTATTTTACAAAGCCTGTGACAGTGCTAATGYTCCACCAGTGAGTCAATTTGTAGCTACAAGAAGCTCCTCAGTTACCTGCYGGGGGAACTTTAGCCACACAGGTCAAATAGCTCCTGTGTTTTGGGGCTGGGAGGTGTTTGCATCCGCGTGCTTGCTGCTTCCTGGGGGCTGTGCAGCTAAACGTGGGTTTGCCTGCTGGACCAGCTGCTGGGTAAGCGTTTGTGCAGCATTTTTGGCTAAAACCACTGAGTTTTACTCTTGAGGAAAGCTTCCTTTTTGGCATCGCCATTATTCCTTGTTTAATTGAACTCAGATCTTTTCAAATGCAGTTCTCTAGGTCTTTAGCACGTGCAATATTCACGTTACCCAAATGTTCCTCCYAGGAACAGTTTAAGAAAATGTAACACAGAGCCCTTACTGAGTTGCCACTAGGTTTTATAAAAGTGAAGAAAAGAGGGAATTTCCAATACAGGGGCTGTACACTGGATACAAACCAGATAAGAAGGAGCAGGATTGTTAACATGTGGAAATGATTTTGGAGAGGACACTGACAGACTGGCCGGGGCAGAGGCCTGGAACAGAGGACGTACAGCTGCATGGCACCTATAGAAAGCGTTTCACGACAGACGAGACCTTTGTTTTTGTTGTTATTTTTGAAACCAGCCCAAGCCGCATGCGGGCAGGGCGGGCTCGGGCCTGTGCGCGGCCGCTCGGCCCTGYGGCCGACTCCCGCTAGAGGGAGGGAGGCGCCGGCTGCCGAGGCCGAGCGCGCCTCGGGAAGCCCGGATTTGCTCCYGAGCTGCCGGCCGCTAGGGAGATGGGGCATCGAGCAACGCCACAGCGTGCGCGGGAGAGCTGGCACCCGCTGCCACCGAGCTCGCACAGCAAAGAGGAAATCTTCCTGTCCATGAGCCAAAAACGCTGAAACTGTGCCCGCGGGGCAGCTGCCTCGCTGCTGCTTTGGAACAGCCCCATGAGCTTGGAAAATGCTGTTTTGGAGCCTTGTGAAGCATTAAAACGGATGCGCGCTGTGCTGAGCACACTCTTCCTCGATTTCGGTGCCTCTTCCTCGATTTCAGTGCAGCCGGCAGCTTTTCTGAGTCCCTGTGGCTGCGGCTCAGCCCAAGGCTCGTCCTCCCCAGGCACTGCTGTGGGTCCTGCCGCTGTGACGTGGCACTGGCGGCTCCCCAGTGCTGCTCCAGCGCTCCCAGGTGTGGGAATAGGCAGGAAAAATAAGAATAAAGGGGCAGTCCCAGCTGTGTGTGCGAAGCTGCGCACCAGCATGGAGCAAAGGGTTCAGATTTGGAGGCCAAYGTGGGAAGTCCCTCAGTAACAACAAGCAGCATCCTGAAGCCTTCCTGAGTCCTGTGTTTCTAGGAAACAACTGCATTCCTGCTAGCTCCTGAAAACCCTAWTACAAGGTTGCCCTCTCTGATATTTGCAGAAAAAAGAATATAATCTAGAACCAAAAACTGTTTGTGCCAAGTGAGAGCGCACAGACAGACCTGTAGCCTTCAGGAGCCTGAGAGCAGCACCTGGGTCACTGAGAGCAGCAAGGTCTGCAAGCTCTTGCTCTGCTGCTGCCTGGGGTTCTGCAGGAATGCAGAGGATGCCAATGCACTCAACCAGGGGAGTGTTTTCAGCTTAGCACATACTTTGGYTCAGAAGTGCTTTGTAAATGTGTGAAAAATTTATTTTCAGTGCAGGCGTTACGGAAGGATTAGCTCTCACTTTCCCCATCCAGGAAGAGATCCGACTGCTATAAACTCATTGCACGTGCTGGTAGTGCTCAGTAGTTCTGGGTGACAATACTGTCACTGTAGTGTCACCTGTGAGTGTAGTGCTTAGGTCACAGAGCTGTTCTTATCACTGTGCCTCTGTATATAGTTGCATTCAAATCATTATGTCTTTTCTCTTTTTTCTTTTCTAATAAGCCTATATCCTGATTTAGTGTATATATTAATATAATTTACTTTCAGGAGTGGCTAATATGTCAAAATTGGGTATTTTTTTGAAAGGGGGTACTTGCAATCTCGCATGTGCTGATTGTGGATGTTTGTTTGCCTGAGCTGTGCACTAACTTTTGCTGTGTTGCTTTTGTTTCTAGAAACTACAGATCCCACAATGATAGCCACTGACAAGGAGAAATGTATGCTAAATGACAGGGGTAAATAAACGCATACCATGTCACTGGATGGAATGGCTTTTCAGATTAAGTTGCAATTTAATTTATCATGTAATTGCATTTCATGTAACAAGTAATTTGTTTTATGATGTCTTTACTGTCATTGTTTAAGTGGAAATAATAGAGGAAAATGTACCGAGCTGCTGCTGCTGAGGAAAACACAGTGCCAGGCAATTCAGAAGATTATGGAGACTAAGTGATTAAGCAATATTGACAGGAGTATATATTTACTTATCCCATTTTAGCAAAATCCTTGAGGGGTAGTAAGTGTTATTCAGCTGTATTTTTCACAAGGCCATCTTTTTTTTTTAAATCCATTCTAAATATTGAAAATTTCAAATTAAGTACAAAACCTAGACAGAAAGAAAGATGACATGCRTGTGTGACAGAAAGCAGAGTGAACTTAAATGCATTTTCATTGGGAGAACCTGTTAAGCTTTGTCTTAGAATTGTAGGCCTACAACTAGCCTTGCATTTCACCTATCATCACTATTGTAAACAGGAACAAGAATATATTTTTTTTTTCTTATGAAAATTTAATCTGTGGCACGTAAATATAAAATCACATGCAGATCTTTTCTGCTCCATTCTGTCTGAATTTGTACACAGATGCTATTTAAATGAGACATGCAGCTGATGCAAATAAAGAAATCCTATGTACCAATTGCAAACGAAATGACTGAGCTGGCAGCTGGCATTGATTTGGGTTCTGGCTTTGGTTCTTTGTTTCTGCTCCCTGGCACTAGTTATTTCTGCAAGGCTGGATCCTGCAGGCACTTTAGGACCAGACCTGGAAGTAATTGAAGCCAGAGGGACTTCGAGCACAGGCTCCACAGCAGCATTTGTGGAGAGCTGCCATTCTCCTTACTGGAGAAAAAAARCAGACAGGCACAAAGTTAAGAGGGGAAAAGCTAAACTTAAAAAGTTCCTACTTCTAGGAGACTATAGTCTCCTATCTGATATATTTTCACATGAGGTCTGTTGACCCAATGGGGGTTATTTATGGGATAAAATGCTCTGTTGTGTGGGGACGGTCCCAGTGATTTCATTAATATCCTGTTTTAAAATTTAGGTTTTTTTTTTTTAATATTTTAGATGATATCAAAACACTTAAGGAAGCTTTCACTTAAATTTAATAGGAGTGCAGCTAATTAGAAAAATAGTCAAATTAGTCAAATAGTGAATGGTGTTGAAGTAGCTGCAGTAAAAATCAGTTACAGTATGGCTAATGTCCCTTACAGTATGGTTAATGTACTTCATAATACATTAGCTACAGGACATATGTGACTGTGCTGGCTTCATTTGAATACAGCTGCTGTGCACATGAAGAGCAATAGAAGTTTTATTAACTTGGAAAAAATCCTGCTCCTGTTCTTGGTCTTCATGTGCTCCCTTTCCTGTCTTCTCCAGGTCCGGTGTTTTTCCTCACCTGCTTCAGCGCGGCTGCAGGGTTTGCCCTGTTCTGGTACTGCTGTGACTCAGGTACCGACCCAGAGCGTTGTGTGGGGCTGGCCTTGGGCTGGYCCGTGCCCATGGAGCGCTGCGCTGCTCTCCCTGCAGCTAACGGGATCCAGGAAGGGAGCGGGACCTCACAGAGCTYGTGGTCTTCCTCGCCGCCCTTCCTCCTTAGAGCAGAGCTTCTCAGCTGGGCTTTCCCTGTGCTCGTGGCTAAGGTCAGGAGAGAGCCACTAGACCACCTAGGCCAAGCCATGCATGTCCTCAGAGGCCACCACCTGCCATCACCAGTACCGGTCACCACCGTTTCACAGAAACATTTCCAGAAATGCACTTGGGGTCCAGTGCAAAGAAATGGAGGCACTGTCGTTCTCCTTGATTGTTTGTCCCAGTTATTTGCCTGTAGCATTGACTTGTGTGTCCTGTTCTCGGTGTGGATTTGCTTCAGCACCAGCCTTCCTGTGTTATTACACTGTTTTCCAGCAGATTGCAGTCCCGCAGGCCCTCATGCCTGTGCCAGCTGGTGCTTTGCATCTCCTCCCAGCAGAGGTGCTTGCACTTAAGTCACGTCACACACTTGTTTGTTTGTCTGCCTTTCCCCCCACTGAAATCAGCAGCTGGAGCTCTCTAAGACCGACACTTCCCCTTGTTTAAATTGCATTGCTCTCTCCTGAACCTGTGCAGTGTCTCTGTGGCTCCTGGAAGAGGTGGTGCTGGGCTGGATGTGGTAATGGGGACTCACACTAGCCAGTGCCACGTACAGGTGTGAACCTGTCCCTTAGCCAGCTCCTGCTCAGGTGTCCACAGCGCAGCAGGGTGGCACGGCTCTGCACCCCTCTGTGGGCAGTTCATGTGTGCAGTACCACAGGAAACGGGCTGTTCTCTGCGGTCATTTTGATTGTTTTCTGATGCTATTTATTGGAATGAAACTTATTCTTTTCACTTTTTCATTCTYTCTTTCTTTCTTTCTCTCACCTTAATTTTTTAGATACCAAAGTCCTGGGAAGAGCCAGGAGAATCCTGGGCTTTTCTCCTGTTATCATAGGAAGACATGTCAGAAAGATTTGTATGTTGTACTTGGAAGATTTATCAAGGAATTAAGGAAAAGCTGCCTCTTTGCTTCTCTGCACAGCGTATACCTGCCAAGGGAAGACAACGGTGCATGAATGCTAATGTACTACCCTCTCATACCAAAGATCTCATTAACTAGCTTCATCAATGTGTTGCCTTAAGATATATTCAGAAGCTCTGCTATATATGTCCTTCCTTAGGGGAATGGACCTTTTATTTTTGTAAATGCTTATTTTAAAATATTTATCATTTGGATAAAAATATTTTTAATACAACTTTTAATATGATATCCTAGGCAATTATTGGTCTTAGGCCATGTTTGCATATATGTGTTTTATACTGGAAGGGAAGAACACAATAGTCAAAAGAATGCAAGTCTGTCTTTTGTGACAATTAATTTAAGAAAAGCACTTAAGAAAACTTACATGCACTCCAAGCCTTACTGAGGAATAGATCTCCATCTCAGGGCTGTGTCTTGTCCGGTAGCTTTACCCTCACCGCCCGAGCTCGGGTGGGCACCGGTGCCTCTGAAGGCCCTCAGGGCCAGGTGCCTTTGTGCGTGCCAAGTCCTTGCCACAGTTCATGATGTCCGTGTTGGCAGCTCGGCCTGCCTGCCTTGCCCATGCCGCGTTGAGCGATGTGTTGTGGCCTGAGCACGCTGGAGCTGGTGCAAACCCCATCCTGCGGCGTGCCCTGGCTGGTCTGAAGTGCTTGAGACTTCCAGGGAGACCTTTCAGGGTTATTTACACACCTCCATTGAGGTATTTTGGGGTATCTAAGAAATGGAAGCAATCTAGCATGTTCTGCGGGGATGTAAGTGATGTGAGGTGGAGGTGTTTTATGGCCAAAAAAATGCATGTATTTACTTGAAGAGTCTGCAGTTGTTATGTCATTTGATCATGTTCTGCTTTCATCTGTAAGCTGAGGCCCAAAAAGTTTGCAGGATCTATTCCCAACACCTGTCTAAGAAGGAAATGCATGAGGGAGATCTTGGGAGCCGGGACCGCCGATGTGCTTGTGGCTTCACAGGCCAGGCTCTGCCCAGCTCCTCACAAAGGCCTTTCCCCCTCGGTCTGCTCTTTCTGAACAGGCTTTAGTCAAAGCATCTTTYGGTGGATGGTTCCTTGTGGCTCTTCCTTCACTGGAATGTGATTTCCAGATCAGGTTTAGGGCCAGGAGGGGAGATGGTCGCCCAAGTGAGCTGCAGCCACACGTGGGTCAATGTGCATCCATAGGGATTTGCAAACTCCAAGTCCTCTGAAATGATTTCCCTAAAACAGATGGAAAATCATCAGTGCYTTGTTGGAGCTGAGGGCCGGATGCTGCTGTGCTGACAGGTTTGGGGACACCTGGCCTTGCCAGCAGCCCCACAGAGCCCCTCAAGCAGCCCTAGAAGTGCAGTGGCCCTGTGGGACACCGTGGTCCTCCCCGTGCCCTGACCCAAATGGCTCTCTGGAGCTTCGGAAAGAGGCAAGTTCTGTGAAGGCTACGGCACCTCTCTGTTCTTTTGGAAAGTTGAGGCTGCCTCTCGGGAACAAGCTCCTGGGTMGAGTTGTTTGGTTTGGCCTGGGAAGAAGTCAGGAGAGCAGACATAGATTTGACCATCATCATAAGAAAGAGAAGATTTGTGCCTTAATTAGTGTAAGTTTTTACTGATCAGAAAAATGAAGGCAAAGCTTGCTTTAATTTGGTGCTGTGTAGGTCTGTGTAGCAGGCAGTCACTGGGGATAGGAATGACGAGGCTCCCTCCCTGCCTTCCCTTTCCTTGTGCTTCCTTTGTCCTTATAAAGGGCGGACAGGAATGGGCAGAAGGCTCAGGAGGTGTTTGCAGTTCCTGGGACTAGAACAGAGCTGGAAGCAAGCCCTGGGGGAGACCCTTGTTGTCTTTGAAGACCGTTCTTTGGGGATGCTGATGTTYAGTGCCTTCTGCCAAGGCAATCTGCGCAGCAAACACCGCCGGCAGCTGCAGYGATAGATACCTCTGTGTTCAGCTCTGCAGGAGGCACCTGCTCTATTTGGGAGCCAGGGCCAGAGAGGGATGAGGTTTTATTTGCTTTGAAATAAATAAAGCAGAGTCTTGGGGGAGCACAAGTAGGTGCAGAATTCCCGCTTCCCTGCTGGGAAGGTGTCAGAGCTCGGCGGTTCGTGCCCAAGTGCTGTGAGAGCAGGGCAAGGCAATAGAATAGCCCGTGCTACAGCACATGGCCCTGGTCCGTACGCAGTCCAGGCAGCCTGCGTGGGACTGTGTGCATCACGGGGTGCTGGGGAGCAGAGCAAATCTGCACAGGGCCACGTAAAGCCGGGGCGCTCCTGGGAGCGCTTCGGAGCAGCGCGGAGCGCCCGCGGCCGGAGCCACCCTGGCACTGCCGGCTGGGCTTGTGAAACCCCCCGCTGAGCCCCCGCTCCGGGTCTTCGAGTTGTGATGGGCCTTTTCTCATACTGTAATAAAAGGAAAACTTAAAGTACATTTGGTTAAGATTTACTGTCACGGATGGTTTCTGCCAGTGTTCTGTGTGCACAAACGCTGTTCCCCAAAAATGCCTTACTGTGCAAGCAGGGCTGCTGTTACAACCTGGAAGGCAAGTGTTTTGCTGTGCTTCACAGGTCCTATGTTTTATAATCATTTATTCTGGCATGTGTCTTCTCTAAGTCTATATAAGTTAATGGAATATGTTTTTTTAATGGGGTGAAGCTGGCAATTAAATTGTAATAAAGCTGGACTGAGAAAACTGCTGCTGTGTTTCTTGTATTGAATGTTTTGCTCTGACTTTCAAGGGACCATTGCCCTACGGTCCCCTCCCCAGGGCGGGGGTCTGCTGATGCCCTCCTGCTCTCTGCTATACAAGGGTTAATGTTTCGCCTTTGGGTCTCTTGAAAGACTTTTTAACTTTTTCATTTGGTTTCAATTTTTTTGCAACTTTTTCAATCCATATCTTCAGTGATAAGATGCAATGGAGCATGATGCATTGGTGCAAAGACCAGAGGTCCTTTTGCTACACCTTGAATTTACATTGTTGTAATACTCAAGGACCCCACTGAAGTGACATGTTGCTGCGATGGGCGAGGTACCAGGCTCTTTGCTGTGGATGGCAGCTGCCAGAAAGCAGCCTGCACCATCCACACGAACTGTAAGATTGTAAATGCAAAGCTGCAAGGTGCAGAGAGTATATTGCATATATTCGATATATTGGGTATATTGAGTTGTGCTTATGACTTGGCCCCTTTGTTGATGCTCTGTATGCTGACACCAAGGAAACCTGTGGCTGCAGCCAGCCGGCTCTGCAGCAGGGCCAGGGCGCTCTGCGTGCGTGTGTGCATATGCAAGAGAGCATTTCAGGTGAGTCCTCAGCTGCCCTTTCTATTTCAGAGCGCGAGCCGTCACACGCCATGCTTGCAAGGAAAAGCTTTCTTGTATTTTGCTCTCGGTAAAACTTTAATGATGTCGTGCCCAGCAAAGCGGAAGCCTTTCCGAGCCGGTTTGCGCTGCTGAGCGGTTTCCTGCGGCGGCGCCCGGTGGCACCGAGTCCCCACGGTGCGACCCATGCGCCCCGCAAAGCGCGACCAGGGGCTGCTTGGGGCGGCCACGTCCGTGTGCGGGAGCGGCACGGTGGGACCCCGCAGCGCCTGGGGCCAGCCCTGGGGAAGGACCCTTGTGGCTACAAATCCACAGGCTTTTTGGATCATTTTCTATGTGATTATCCATAGGCTCCTTGGAGACTATTGTAAGTCCTCTCATTTTGGGGCAGCAGCACAATTGGGTCTAGGCTGATGCACAGCAGTGTAGCTTGCACGTCATGACTGTAATACAGTAACTTTTTTTTCTTTTTTCTTTTTTTTTTTTTTTTTCCTAGCAGAAGACGGCATCGATCCTTGGTGCTTGAGGAGCAGGCGGCAGTCGTGTCTATTCCTGGCAGAGGGTCCCTGCCACCTAGTGGCTGTTTCTCCCCCTCGACTCTGACTGATGCCACCTCAGGGTCCATCCGGACCCCAAAGTGGGATCCATCCCAGCCCTGCCCTTGCTGTCTGTAAAACGTGTCCACCGAGGTCTCTGACCCGCTCGAGTGGCAAAGGGGCTGTAGTTAAATGTGCTCATTTCTCAGCAGAACAGCCCCTCCAGTTGTCCTGAAGGCCTCGGGCACGGTCATACCTGGCACTCTCTCCTACCACTGCCCAGACCTTCTGGCGCACTTGCCCTGTGAAAAAGGCAGGTTATTAGATAAATTTCCATATGAAACTGTCCAAGGCTCAGGGGCTCCGTTTATTTCCAGTAACATTTTCTCTGCTTCGGGCACTGCTGCAAGCTGGTTCATCACCTGCGAGCACTGCGGGTGCAGGAGGGCGCTGCATGCTGCGTGCTGCAGCTGCGCTTGCCCCTTCCCCCGGCTGGGAGCAGCCCCTGCCCTGCTCTGCATGAGCCTCACCTGTGTGCCGGGAGCGGGACAGGTGGGAAGCGGCTTTGGCAGTTCCGCCCTGGGGAACAGGAAGGCTTAAATGTGCCCTTCCTCCCAGCAGGAAGCTCTTCAGGTCTTGTAAGAAGGTGGATATGTGGATGTGCTGCTCACTGTACCTGGTCCTCAAGGTAGGTCTCTGCTTGTGGGGAGGGGGATGTGTTGAAGTAAGGCATTCAAATGCATCCTATTCCAAGAAGAAACACACCRTGGTGGTGGAGAGTCATGAGCTCTAGCTTATTTGTGGCCTGGAGATAGGTCTTGCTATTTCTTTTGACCATGGCACGTTGTGAAGTTGTATGTGGAAATTTCTAAAATCAGCAGGAAATGTTTCGTGCTTATTTCCTCAGTGAGAACATTCTGTGGCTTTCCAGCACCATGTGGGCTCTTCCCAAAGTGTGTGCCCTGCTTGCTGGGTGGCTCCTTGGGGCAGAACTTGTGCTGTCTCTGCAACGCGTGACCCTCCCTGGCAGCAAGCAGAAGGCAAAACAATGGCTAGAGGGCTGAAAATAATAACAAATATAATCCTGAGCAAGAACACATGCTATTGCAGGGACACATCTCCAGAAGTTCTGCTGTGTATGGAAAATGGTGAATACTCATTAAAATCCATGAAAATGTAATGAGAAGAGTGAGGCCTGGAGGAATGTGCAGTTGGTGAGAGCTGCTGCTCAGAAGGAAGGACGCTAGCTATGGTGTGTGGTGTCAGTGTATCTGAGTAGCCACGGATGAGYTTCCTTCCAAACGCCTGGCTGCTCCTGGAGTGTTGCTGGAGTTTGGGGGCTCCAGTCATTTAAAAACACAAGGAGATCTGGCAGGTGTACCAAGGAAAAYGTGGTATTTGTAAGGAGGGTGTGAGCAGGTGCTTTGAAGCGGAGTAATTTGAAGGGGAAATCTGTGTAATTTTAAGTGATGTTGGCCACAGCTATTGCTACACAAGCTAATAATCTTCGATAATTACCATCTGGTGCTATCTGGAGTGCCAGTTGTTTCCTGACTTACTTGAGGGGGAATGTGGTATCAGCATATTCTTCTGGAGTTTGCTTTCCTGGAGATTGGCTTAATAGCGAGAATGCTGAATCCTTTTTTTTTTTTTTCCCAAAGAATTAACTGAAACTTTTGTCTGTTTAGCTAGATCATTTCTCAATTAAAAAATACAGGAGGACTGTGTTAGAGTATTCAGAAAATCCTGAATTACTATTTTTTTCTGATCTCTTAAACCAAATATATGGTCTGTGGGACTGACTTTGYAAAGACAAAGGCATCACCCTTCACATTTTGAAATTATGTTAATTTATATTATTAATTTTAAAAATTGCCTAATTAAAAAACAAATACTGTCATTTAGCAGTAACACTGCTTATTCTGTATGCAAATAACAAAAGGAGAAAGAAACTGCTTCTTTTCAGTCTCACTGCTTCTAGTGTGCCCTACTCTGCCTCTGATCTTACAGATCAGAGTCCTGAGGATTTATTTGGGAAGAATGCTGTTTTTTAGCATGAGACGCGAGTTAAACGTTAGGAAAACACAGCACCAGGTCTCTTGGAAGTGTTTCTGCTGGCCTGCAGCGAGTCAGCTGCTCTCAGCAGAGCCGGTTCTGCTGTGGCTTGACCAGATCGCGCTGTGGCACAACAACCAGCTTTGAGGTTGTGAGAGGAKTGTGTCTTTTGGTGTTATTTCTTTTTGCTTTTGCTAAAGTGTTCTGTGAAGCACTGTATAAACACATAGCGTTTACTGAGCGATGCAGTCTGAGACGGCAGCGTTCTTGTTAATCTGCAAAATCACTTGAACTTACATAGTTCTTGGGTACCATTTCTCTATTTGGATTACTCTCCCCCAAAATATTTGGACGATTCAGATGCTGTCTTACAGCTGTTAACCGAGAGCACAGAGCTCTCCCAGGGGGCACGGGAAGAGCGCGGCATTCCGGCCGACGGGAATGCTGGCCCTCCCAGCTGCAGGGTGGTGGGTCCCAGGCCAGTGCCCCATAGCACACGTGGCCGGGCTCTGTTYGACCTGCACTGACACAGCAGACAACAGGATCCAGGGCTTGTCCCAATAAACCGAAATGAGCAWCCCAAACCATCTGACTGATAGCTGAGAGAACAGTAATCAGGATTATGCTTTTTAGTTCTCTTGATCTCATAGTAATCAGCTGGAGAAAAACATCAGTGAGTGACCAGTTTAGAAGGCATATCCTTAAAAATCAATTTCAGTAAACATAGTTATTGTCTAAGTAAATAAAAGCCGAACTGCAAATTAAATGAAGGCAGTCCAAGGTGCTGAAGGGACTAATAAAAACAGCTGGAGCAACATGTGTCATTGCACTGCTCTGCAGCTTATGAAGCAGAAGTAAAGAGGTATCCTGGTATGAACTTGTTCCCTAGATAGCCAGTAAAAATCCATCTTGCTTCATTATTGATGACTTGTTTGTAAGTGAAATGTTTGCCTAGAACCAAGAGCCCTGGAAAMGCAGGGAAAACTAAAGAACCATTTAAAACGATGCATTTGTTTGCTGCCTGTAGGAGATAATCACTATGATTTTAAAAAGAAAAACAACAACAAAAAAAAAAGATTTAAGCACATGATTATTATTCTTTTAAATTATTTATMCTGGGAACCAACTTGCAGATGCTTTCGTCTAATAAAAAATGCATGACCTCTGAAGGCTTCAGAGACTTAAGACACGGATTGAATGTCTGAAATTGTTCTGCAAATCTTTAATCACAATAGAAATATTGTAATAAACTAGTTTCCTCTTTATTTAAAAATACATTCAAATGTGAGCTGAACACTGTCAATGTCCTGTGCATTCCCCTAGCCAGGTGGGTGGATTTAGGATCAGGCTTTTGAGGAGTGAGAGTCAATGGGAGCAACCAGGTCTCTGAAGTTACAGGTATTGCTGCTGCATTTCCAGGTGTTCAGCAGGCAGACAGGAAATGGGATTCAAGTTTTTATTGTCCTAAGCCTGGTTCTGTCAGATTTTGTCTCAAGATTTGAAGAGACCAGGCACCTCCTGCGAAGTGCAGATCAATATAGTCAGCTTTGGATACCCAAGAATGTGTTCAAGCTTAAGTGTGKTTTTTTTCCCTCCTATATGTCCCTAAACCCACATCCCAAAATCTCCTGGAATCTGTAGTAGATACAACCTCACACAAGCGAATGTCTCCGACTAGTTTTCTGGATCYAATTAGCTTTTTCTTTTTGCTACAGCATAAGAACCTGGGAGATGGAATACACAAGCCTTGGTAGTTTCTCTTGGACAACAGCATCAGAACAGTGATTACAGTTTTCTCTCCCTGCAARATATTGTAACAGCTTGTTCACTTGATTGACCTGAAAAAAATGATGGTCTAATAACAAGTGGAGTGAAATAAGAAAGGAACTGAAGACAGTTTTTCCTGAGTACCTCATTAGGAGCTGTTCTGAAATATGTTTAAATCTGTACAATACAAAATTAAAAMAACTGTTTCTCGGATCCCGAAAAAAAGTTTGTCAGATCCTGAAAAACGCATGTTAAGTTGGAGATAACGCAACAAAAGGTTAAATACAAAATTCAAAAATATTACTTCTGCTTTAACTAATTGCAAAAGCTTCTGATTTCTGCTATTTTTAAATATATATAAAGATATGAAAAGCAATTTTATCTAAGTCTAAATGAAATGAGATACTTGCACAGTGGAAGCCACACTTATGTTAATATCTACAAGGAAAAAGCATTTAAAAATATAAAAGATAATGTCTTAGTAGAATTTTATATCTACAAGTAACACATGCTATAAATCCATGATTTCTCTGGTAGCAGATAATTTGGAAATGAAAAGGCTGAAATGCTTCTGCTGCAGCCATTTGTGTGATATGCACTGTTGCTAGAAACTGTGTGTTTAGAGAAGGTGTCGGTCCCTGAGCCAGCAGGTAAGAGTCTATGAAGAATCTATGAAGATTTCTGCATCTCTTTATATAAATTAATGAAATATTATCCATAAGCTTGAGTGCAAGACGACTGCAGAAGTCAGAGGTGGGGAAAGGAGAAAGTAGGTTAGAGGGATGAATCTTTTATCTGCCTTGTGAGGTGTTGTCAGGCACTCGGTGCTGGTTTTGCAAGCTCACTTGTGTGTCCAGCCTAGCAACGCTCACTTGTGTGTTGGGCCTAGCAAAGGCAATGCTCCTAAGAGGCTTTCCAGAGCTATAGACATGGCATGGAAGTACAGCAGTTAAGAGTAAGAAACCATGCAGAGGTTGCTTTGAAGGTAGTCCAGAGACAAGGCAGCAGAACAAATGACTGGCTGCGAGCAAAGCTGGCCAGAAGACAGGCTACTGCTCTAGCTGTTTAAGCTCTGCCTTGGCCGAGGAGCAGAATGGGGAGAGGGAGAGCAAACAAGGCAGGGCTCTCGTGGTGCAGGGAGCAGGAAAGGCACTGCCGTGCTGTGCAACAGCCCAGGCCAGGTAACAAACGAGTGCAGTGAAGGACAATGTGACCACGCCAAGCTGAGCGCCTGCGGTTCCTTAGCACGCTGGAGAAGTCAAATTACTGCAAAAACAAAAGGCAAGTCTTGAAGTCTATGAAGCAGATACCCTCAGAAGAAAAACTACTTGTTTATACAAAAATTGAAATGCCAGAATCCAGAAAAGTSAAGTCAGTGGGTCAGAATTAACCGTTCCTTAGATGCCTGAAGGTAGAACACACTGCAGAGTTCCAGGCTCTCAAACGTGTTTGTTGACAGAAACTCGAGAGCTGCTCTGTGCCCAGTTCCTTCGGATTATTTTTTTCTATGTCTGAGTGTAACTTGCTCAAGTGCAAATGGCATCTATGGGGAAAATGAATAGTTCAGATGTCTGAAAAGCAAAACAAAGATATTGAAGTTAGTGACTTAGCAATTATAGTAAATGACAGATTTGCCTCACAGCAGGAATTCTTGTTAAAGTATGTGTTGTGAAGGTGAAGCTAGAAAATGGCCACTTGTTTTTCTCAAGGCTTTAAAAGGATTACAGATCCATGAACAGAATGGTTCCTGTTACAGATAATTCAATACAGGATTGCTATTTGGCAAGCAGGGGATGCATTTTTGCTGAAGTCCAATGCAGGGGAAAAAAATAGACTTTCAAATTCCACTCAGATTATCATTATGGAGAGGTATTTCTAGCAAGGGTGCTATGTACAATTGACCAAGTTACAGATTTAATGGTTAATGATCCAAGCCATGCRGAACTTGGAAATTTAGCAAGTCTGGATTAAAAAGACACAGGGTCTAGGCAGCACATTCAGACACTTTATAAGAAACCTGAGAATCAAGCTGTTTCTCTTTACAGCCATGTAAAGTATTAGCCATGCTTATGCTTATGTAGTTGCACAGCTGTATGAGTTACATCCAATGGGCAGAAATTTTTATTTCATGCTGTTGTGGTGATCTCAGAGATTTGCCTGCAAATCCTCACTTTTCTTCTAAGACACAGCTTTCTAACATGGGATTCCAAAATTCTGCTTGTAATTAAACTATGAAACCTTTTAGCTTGAGAATTTATGGATGGTAGAAGGAGCAGTGGAGAAAATGCCACCACTAGTAGTATGAGGAGCCCTCCTTGCCAGATGGTGCCAGCTGGGCAGCAATGTTGCACCAAACCACTGTTGCTTCTGTAACCTTAGCCACACGTGTGTGTGCAGCATGGGGAAGGAAGGCTCTGCAGAGCTGCACAAGCMTTTAAAGCAGCTTTTTTCCCCTGAGTCATGGTATGGAGAAATATAGAAATAGTGCTCTATTTATCTGCGATARCTGGCTATCTGAGATGCTACAGAAAGAGCATCTCATGTGAAATAGTGTTTCATCTGCCACATCTGATACCAGGTGAGCCGGCCTGTCTAGCAGCCCAGCAAGGCAATGAAAAGGGGAGTCACTTGCCAGAGTGCAATTCTGCACCCTTGTATGACAGCTGCTTTCTGGTTATTAGCCTACTTGTGAATAAACTGTCATATTGTACTCCTATTACTATACCTTACAGGGAACTAACTGGTTTAGAATTGGATCATGAACAAGTTGTCCCCTCTCCTCATTGGATACATTGGTGGGATAAGGAAAAACCTCTTTTCTGCTTTAAGTATTTCTTTCTCTATATAAAAAAGAGCTGTAGTTGGGATTCTGGAATGCTACCTTTTCCAGAGCTCAAAATCACTGRAATGTCTGTTGTTGTGCTGCAGTCCTACGTCTGTGGCTGTTCCTGGCTAATGTGTGTATTTCTTTCTGTGAAGAGAGCTCAAATTACAATAATCCTTCATTCAGTTCTCTTGGTTTTATGGCAGTGCAATTTTCTTCTGTTAGTGTCTCAGTATTGTTTTTGTATGTACTGCAGAGACAAATGCTCCACCTATAATTTTGATAATGCCTTGGAGACTGTTCTTTTCTGTTAAAATGAAAATATATTAGTTGTAGACATMATGGCTGCAAGAAACCACTATATATTTGTTTCACTGCATGCATTTGCCCATCTTACTGCACCAAAAAGCCTATATTCAGCTAAAGCAAACCCTCAAAGAAATGAATTTTATTCTTCATTTCTCCAGTAGCTTGCACTGATTTCCTCAGGCCTCTTTAGAATCCTGATAGATTTATGCCTGGTTTCAGGTCTTGTTACTGATTTCTGCCGCACCATTCCCCTTCAGATTAGATGCCCTGTACTTACTTTTCCCATGGAGAGACTTCTACAAAAATAAAGTTGATCTTTGATATTTAGCACTGCTAAAGCAAGCACCATAAGCCCTGAAAGTCTCTCAACGCTGAACAGATTTCTTTATAACAGGTAATATTTTGCAAGAGCAGTTTGTCTGGAAGCTAACCCAAACAGGTGAGGTTACACATATCAGYGCTCGGAGTAGTAGCCAGGGCACTGTGGCCTCTCAGGAAAGGCAGGTAATTCTTCTTTTCAGTGGGTCTTTTGAAGGTGGYTAGAGATTTGGAAGAGCAATGTTAGGCTCAAGTGTGTGTCAGTGCTGTTCAGAGGCAGGTGTTGGACCACTGTGATGACCTGCTCCTTGGGCTTCAAGCCTGCATTTTAGGTTAATCTCCTCTCAATTTGCTCTTCAGAGCTGTGATGCTAGAAAGACACCTCTCTTTSACTCTCACCATTCCTGTATTTATCCTTCTGTTTAAGTAATCAGTAATCTTTAAAATGCTGATGGAGGAAAATAATACTGGACTAAAGGAGCACATTTATCAATGAAGTAATAGAGCACTCTTTGAGTCTTCCATAAAAGGAAAAACCTTCAGTTTGGGATGGCTGAAAAGCCACACTATATTCATGGAAATCAAAGGACTCCATGGATTGGCTTATTAATAAGTCCTATGATTATTTGGATAAAGATTAAATCTTCAGTATTCATAACAGACTGGATTCAGTATATTGCAACCTTTTCTTTTTTTAAAAAACAGTAGTATTTCCCTCCCTGGTTTTGTCAACACTGAGCAAAGGTGTGGGTATCCCTSAAGGATAATCTTGCTTCCTACGCATGCTATAAGCAGGGGGCCCCTGGAAAAACATGAGGCTGTCATCAACTTTTGAACTCTCTTTACAAAATYGTTGTGTAATAACTTGATGGTTCCTAGCAGCTTCTGCTTTTGTAGCAGTCTAAGGAAAAGTGATTTATCTGTGAAGCCTAGAGCTGCATAGATAACTCCTTGATTTTAATGTCATGCCATAGTGGCAACCTTGTGGTGCAAGGAGRCCATACTCACCTCGTGCTTACTGCTTTGATGATTCAGCCACTGGCTTCTGCACTCCAAAGGCAGTGATAAAAATATTCACAACTACTATAATGAATACTAGTCCCGTTGCAAGGTTGTTGAGGAAATCCAGCTTCCCGTGTTTTGCAGGGTTGTTAAGGTCATATTTTACTTCAAACAGAAAAGGGAGAAAAGCTTTAATTATATGTGCATTTTAAATTCCAGAATAAAAATATATTAATCATGTAATTAAACCATTTCTCTCACACTAAGTTCTTTCTATCAGTCATACTTAAAAGGGAAGTTAGATGCTACACTGTCAGCAAAAATGCTAAGGAAAAAAACTTGAGTTGCAAGAAGCCTACTAGCATCTGTGTTTGCTGTTTGGCTRTGCGTGGGAAGTGGTGGGCACGCCAACTCGGAATCTTCACTGCTTTTGTTCTCTTGAAACCTAGGATCGTTGGTCAGTTAGGTTTTAAGCATTTTTAAAAATCAGWCTTCAATATATGAAGTCTGAAGCCCTGAGAGGATGCAATAAGTTCAACTTATCACAATTAAAATGCTTCAGGTTCTAGCCAGAGTCTTCTCTCTCTGCCCGTGCTTGGCTTCACTCCTGGTGCCCTTCCCAAGCTAGGCTCCCTGCTTGGTACTGCTTTTGTACGGATTCTGTTTTTAGAAAGCAAGGGCCTTACATGTGTTGAACATAAGATTTCAAAGCTGCACTGTTTCTTACAGAAACATGAGTTGTGTCAACGTTTTCTTCTGTTTCTTAGAGTTCTTAAGCTGAACTGCTAATGGGAGTGAGGGAGRAACACTCAAGGGAGATATAATTAATTTAGTTCAAGCTTTGATTCCAGACCTTATGAAAACATACAAATGAGTTACATTAGGCTCCCATTAGACTTGATGACAGACTAAAACATGTATAGGACAGTAAGCAGTCTGGGAGTGCTTGCTGTTTTCTCTTGCAGAAGGGCTTTATAACTGAGCCTGTTATAAATTCTCTGAAGCTGTGGGAACAAGTGCCAGTGAGTTCTGGAGCATGTCCTGATAAGAGACCACTTACAGCGCCTTTAAGACAGCTCTTAAATGTACAAGTCCCTGGAGCTTGTGTGCATGCACAAGATACGTGAAAGAAAGTTGATATTAGAGAAGTTTTTTGTAGCAGTATAAGTAAAAAATGGAGCTTCAGATATGGAAGATATATATAGATGAGTAGCTGACATCCTGCTGGGCGAGATACTGTCACATATTTGTAACGTAATGGCTTTGTCAACGCTGCAGAATTGGCACAAAGCTGTGACTTGTTCTTTGAATCGGTTAAGCAGAGTGGTGGCAAATACGCTCATGATGCTGAAGCAGTGAAAAACAGGCCTGTTTGGTGCCCCTAATTAGAGAGTCTAATGCTGTTTTGGTTTCAAGGAATTCTGGGCACCTGGTCCATGTCTTGCTTGCTGAGGCAGGATATTGAGATTTACACAGGGATTACTTGCCCTGTGTAAACTACTCCACAGCTGTGCTGGCATGAAATAAATTAGGCTCAGCAGTACTTAACCTGAAAATGAGGTTTCTGCATGTCTATAAAACACTTGGTGCTATGTGCAAGTTGGCATCCTAATGGCACCAAGAAGAATTCTGCATGAATAAAGCAGAATAAATAGAACATTAATTCTTATGTATATAAGACAAACTTTTCACACTGTTAGTTTGATTTAATTGAGGAAAAAAAGCAAAGTTGGCTAACACGTTGTGTATTAAATTAATATTTGAAGGAGAACTGGCACTTTCAGTCCTGGCCTTCCTTTCAAGTAAGGTGATTCCAGGCAAATTAAGATAAAGTGAAGTATCAAAGACCCATTTAATGCTAAAGGAAGAAGTTAAATCTAGACTGCTGTATCTCCACTTTCCTCAGAGGTGTGTGGTTTTTTTTTTTTTGTTACTCAAACACATTTAGTGATGTTGTTTTTATAGAAATCAGCCTGGTTCTGTAGTTACTTAAATCAGTATTCTGCCTAAGAACTGTAGCTGAACATTACAGCTGGTGTAGGACATAAGTATGCTACTAATTTAGCAACATCAACTAAAAACATTTTTTATTAATACATGTTGTTTCTCATGCCTTACAGCACCTATTAATACTGAATAGTGAACTCTCTATTTTTAGAAAAACTAAAGTATTGCATTATACTTAGAAAAAAAAAAAAAGGACCCTCTAATTTAAGAGATAAGACAAATGAGGTAACAAGTTACTAGATGGCTCATGCTCTAATAGATCAAGGAAACTAAAAAGCATTACTGTAAAAAGTTTTACTAGAATTTCAGACAATCTATTTGCAGGCCCAGGAAGCTCTATTTTGACATTGCATGTTTATTTTACTTTTTTGAATAAAAGCACTGCATGTGAATAATAGATTGSTGTGTTTTTAGTGAAACCTTGCTCCAGCTGGCCTGTTTTTTCAGATGGGCATTTCAACTTGCTCTCATCTATCAGCTACATAAATAGCTCATCGCCTTWAATCCATCAGTCTCCTTAAAAATGCTTTGCTTTTAGACTGGCTAACACAGGCTGGAAAAACTTTCCATTTTAAATGGAAAGTTAAAATTTCCATTTTAAATGGAGTTCTAGGTTCATAATATACTTTTATAATACTGCTAATATTATTACTGACATGCAGCAAATAAATTTTCTATCATAGGATTAGGTAATAAGCCTAGCTGGAAACAGCGTTATGAAACTGGGCAGGCCGCATGATCGTGTTGCCCTGCTAATATTTCCTTTACTGTATTTCAGCATGTTCCTTCCTCCTTCAGGCTGTTTGAAAAGAAAAATATTCATGTTCTTCAAAAATGAATATGAGGAAGTTGATCAATACTGAAACATAATCTGTCACATAAATCTGTCCTTACTTCTTTTATTGCAATATTTCTATGGTCTTCAGAGAAAACTAATTCTGAGACAGATTTTCCAATATAAAAGCTTTTTAAGAACAAATACATGGGGGAAATCTATAAATCCAAGTTCCAGTCTGTAAGAAAAATAAATGCCCRCGGTTCTTGCTGTTGCTACATACCAAGGAATATAAGGAGCACTCCCACTAGAACTTGCAGCGTGAGCGATACGCTGATAAGCACGATGAGYGGCACGTAGAAAGAAAAGGAAGGTCCCTGCTCCATCACGGCCTTCAGCTGGGATGCGTTGGCCATGAGCAGGGCGATGTCCAACATGCTCTCCGCAGCACTCTTCTTGTTTGCATAATGGTTGATATTCATCGGTCCATTTCTTTGAAACCACTGTGATCTTCTGCTCTAAAATTAGGGAGGGACAAAACAGTTATTTATATAACTATTAATTGATGTAGTGACCTAGAGAAGAGTTTTAGCCCATCAACTGATTTCTGTAATGACACCAATAGCCTCAAGGCTGCTGTTGCTCTATATATGGATCTGTCTTGTTGATACTGCAGCCCTCCATCTGAAAAAGGATCAGCAGACAGTGTCTGTACTAGGCTTTGGCAGATGCACTTTTTGCAGCTTACAAATTGATGCCAGTTGGTATGCATCCACTCCGAGAGAAGGAATGCTTGGAAAAGCTGAAAAGTTTGTTCAGGGAACAACTAGGAGAGAGAAAAAAGGACTCTAAAACAGAGAACTGTAAATACTTTAGTCCCAAAGGCATAATCAAACATACATGTTATATGTTTAATACCCTATTAAATTCACACTGTGCAAACACCAATGCACATCTACATAGCTACTTAACTACTCACTCTCCGGATCCAGCTACTCTGTGAGCTTTGATAGATCTTTTCCCATTACTTCTTACTCTGCTGTGCTGCTGTCCAGGTTTGTGCAGTTGGAAGTGTTTTTCCCATTAATTAACATATGATCTGCTAACCAACCTGGTTAACTAATATAGAACCAAGCCCTGCCCAAGAAGAGGAGAACTCCTCATCCACTTTTCCAAGAGTGAATTTTGAGTGAGAACTCCTCAAGAAATAAGTAGGGGGAAAACACAGGTGAAACTAAGGTGCTGAGGAAGCACCTCTTCTGACGGTGCTTGAATGAAATCAGGTCTTCCTGATGGCAGTTCCTGTGGCCTGTGCTGTAAAGGGACACTTGGYCTTCCGTGGTTCCCATTTCCATGAAGAGTGGCTGGGCTGGACTGAGCTGCTCTTACGTGATGGGAGGTTAGGCAGCCTGCCCTCCTTCCCAGCCTCTGGACAAGTCGGGCCTCACTCCCACTGCTTCCTGTCTTGAAATCTATCTCATATAACCAAGTAAACTTGTCCTAGCTGACTTCTTAAAGCTGGCTTTTTACTGTATAAATAACGTCTTGTACTCGCTAGAAGATACAATGAAGAAATTCTCCTTTTAAAGGTGAAATCAAATGCAGAAAACTCCCTCTAATTACCTTCTTTGGCGGCACTAATAACCGTGGAATTTCCCGCTGCAAAGCCAGGTTTGCTGCTGTCCAGACTTACAAGTGTCCTTTTAAATAGGGCAGGCACTGATGCATGGAGCAAATGCATTCACAGCCCTTTCCCAGGCAGCTACCCAGCTTGACCTATTTTCACCAGCCCCAGTCTAAGTATTCTCCTGAGAGAAAAACGTCGAGGGGCAGCAGCAGCAGATACTTTTTTTTCTGCAGAAAATGAAGCCCTGTAATCCTGCCTTGCGCAGGAGCCCTGTTTGCTTGGGCTCAGCCTGTAGAAAGAGACTGGATGTGGAACAAACCCTGATGTCACGCGGAAGAACCAGGTATTCGCTTGGCTGCAACTCTATCCCGCGCCTGAAAAACACTTTTTGGGCTTGGGAATCTCTCCCGCCTCCACCCATCACCCTCCCTCCCGTTAAACAACCATGGCCCTTGGACGCTTTAAAAAAATAAGCAGCCACCAGAGCTGACCATCTACCAGAAGTGTGACAACAGATGAGCACATTCATTTTGCTATATAAAAGACCCTAAAATATATGCTGGTAGTGCTTAGTAGAAAGATRCAAATTAATCTTTTTCCCCTGTTTATACAGGGCTCAGAAATCTTGTGGTTACGTGTCATAAAAGGGAYGAAATTAGATGTATGTAATAGAACTTCATTATTTTTGAGCATTGGTTTGAAAGAGACTGTTTCAAGCAGAATGTGAAAGCAATATAATTTCTTTTGCAGTAAGTTTGTAATAGAGGAAGTATTTTCCTATGTCTAGAGGCTATTTAACTCCTTCCTGCCAAGGATACTGTCTTTAAAATTTCCCTAATACGTAACATGGGCAAATATGCCCTAAGTAGCTGTGACTCATCCCCTAACTCTGGTGGAAGGGGCTGCAGTTAAAACACARCAACCAGTTTCTTTGTTTTCACTCGCACAGGAATGTGACGGCAAATTTGAGGCCTTTTTTTCCCCCCTCTGAACTATGCAAAAAAGTAAACAGAGTGGGCCCATCTCCCGCTCAGCTACCCCAGTGGCTTCACGACACGTGACAGTTCAGCRTACACAGCAGGATATGACCTTTTCTTTTCCTGGGGAAACCATGCTGCGTTTTTAGGACCTTGCTGATTGCTAATCCTCTATTTCCATATGGTCCAGCTGCACACTGTAGTGGAGTATTGTTCGAACTGCTGGGGAAGCAAAGGTTTTGTGTCATTTCCAAACTCTAGTAAGAGGAGAACTTTTTAAGAGCACAGTACTGAATGCTGCTGTGGCCAATACTGTTTTCTGTTGAAAAAAGGACCTGTAATCACGGGTGCTCCAGCAGCAACTGTTTTCCTCTGCTTGGCTAGGAAGYGGAGCTTCTTGTCTTAAAATGGAAAGCCATAAAAATGCAGATCAGCATTGCTTTCTGGAAAAAAGAGTTGAAAGCAGCTGCCAAAAGCATTAAAGCAAATGCAGCCAGTACCAGAGCAGCATTTGCAGGCCCAATGGTGCCCAGCACTACGCAGACAGGCAGCGAAAGGAGACCTGTTGCCTTAGCCTCATGTTAGAGACAGTCACGTACAACAAACTAGATGGGAACTTTGTTAGGAGGCTTTTTGGTTCAAGAGGGATTCAGGACATGGAGTAATACATGCAGTCTCCATGCTAAGCTACAGCCTGTGGTATTATCGGCTGCAGCGACGCAGCCGGGGCGAGTGAAACTGCCGGAGACTTTGACTGAAGCAACTAAAGTAGGGCTTCATGCCACACATGCCACTTGGCAAGAGGAGGGTATGTGGTATTCCAGATGAGGAATCCTCTGATGCACTGCAGTCTTAACATCAACAGCTGATTCCACTTGCAGTATTCAAGTCTTCTGGTATACATGTGCAGCTATATGTGTACAAGAACCAAGCATAGCTGGATATGCAGGGTCTGCCTCTTCTTTTTTTACCTCTTAAAGATCACACCTAGTGTTTATTCCTTCATGCCAGGGTGGAATTTTACCCCAAACATATTGACAGCTACATGAGCACAGACTTTGCTACTGTTTGCTTTACTAGTCATAATAGCAACACTGCCAAAATAAGCCAGACCATTCAAAATATAAAAAGGAGTCATTAATTCTACTGAAAAAAAAAAAAGGCACTGAGGTGGAAATCCTTAGATGCTGAATTTTATGGATCACTTCTATGATGATCATTTGATGATTAAAGAGAAAGTGCAAAAATTGGAGGCACTCAAAAACAAGTAATAAGGTATCTTGCTAACTACTGTGACTTATAAGGATTTCTGCCTTCTGTTACAGCAGTAAATTACTCTTTGTGAAAGATTGTGTCTCCTTGAAAAGAGTGCTTTCCAAACAGCAGTTGAAAAGGCCTTTGCTGACTCCCAAGTGCTCAAAAGATAGGTATGAAGAAAAGTACTTTCTGAAAATGAAGTTATAACCTGAACTTGAAACTAGTTCATACAACTATTTTAACCAGAAGTTTTCCCTTGGATTAAATTTCTGTCCTGTGTTACTATTACTTATTCCGTGGCTTTGTAAGAAACACAAGAGGACTGTGAGCTGCCTATCTTATGCGTTGTTAAAGCACTGTTTAAGCTCTAAAAAAAAAGCTTCCTGACAACATGAGGCTTTTGATTTGCTTTGGAACTACTTAATGAATGCAAGATATAGCTTATTAATTTGACTTTAGCAACAACATAACTATAATGGAATGAAAACATTCCACAGCTTCTATCTTCTATCTGATTCTTGCTCGCCTTTTTATAGCTCTTTTCCAGGTGATATTCCCTGGTAGAGTTGYCTTGGAAACATTACAGGAGATTTTATAGTGTGGCAAAGCTAGGATGTTTCCCTAAGGATCATGAGCACAGGTAACAGAGGARCATGCAGAAACAGTTACTATCTGTGTTTTAATGAACAGATCCTTTGCACAAGGGGCTGGGTGCTTCTGCCAAGTGCAATTATTCCCATTAGTCAGTGAGGGAGGTGTTCCAGGCCAAGCCAGTGTTTGAAGCTGTGAATTCCTTGCTTCCAACAGCCTGTCAGMTGGCAAAATTTATCCAGAGTAATGACAAAGTTGAAATAAACCACAGGAAACGACTGTGTGACCACGCATCCAGAAGTACAGTAGRTTCAACTAGTCCTTTCCAATTCATGTGCTTCTACAAGGTGTTTCGAGGTAATATATGGGACTTTTAGCTGAAATTTTTGTATCCTAAAAGCTGTTCTGTAAGGAAAAATGTACAGTCTGAAGACAGGCACAGGAAAATCTGTTAAGGAGAAGTGCTAGGATGCACAGGAAGCTCTTTGGGGCTGTCAAAGTTGTGGCACTTGTGAATGTTCTTCAAAGCAGGTGCTTGGGACTCCAGCACCAGTGATGGAGGCACCTGTGGGTCTGTGGCCTCTCTGCATTTAGCTGGCTGTTTGGTCGAGATGTGTGTTTGTTCATCTGAATTGTGGGCTTGGCCGGGTCTTTAAAGTACCTGCCACTCAAACTGGTTCTTAGAAGCCTGTTGCTGTCTGTTTCGCCCAAGGTGTTTTCTTTTTTTAATATGACTTTTGGAAAATGAAGAAGTGTCTATCTGGTAAATAACCACTRTTCGACCACTTATTCTGTATATGACGCATTTGCACAGGATTTGTACMGTTTCTATGAAAAAGATGTAATGAAACCATCCTTGCATGCAAGTGAAGGTGAAGCAAAACAGGAAAAACACAGAACTAGTCATAGGAAAGGCCCAGACTGAAGCCTAAAAATGAAAGATGTTCCTAGTGCTAGTGATGCAATGAAGCCTGGGCTGGTGAAATGTTGCAGCTCGGGGCAGCATCTCAGTTTGGCTGCTGTGTGAGCCCTGACTCTCCTGAGGTACTTTCCAGGATTTGTTAAAGCCGGACATCTCTCTGGTGGGAAATTCGTGTCCGCAAGGCTTGTTAGGAAGGAGGGAAGGAGGGCAGACCTGCGCTGCAGTCAGCCCGGCGTCTGACCAGAAAGTTTGAGCAGTGGTGAAGGATCTGGTGGGTTTAAGTATTGCTATTAAGTACTGCAGCGTCCTAGCCTGGACTAAGAGCTGTGTTTTGAGGTTTAGCTTAAACCTCTTCCTGAGCAACATGAAAGATGCTCTTAGACAAGTCTGGCTGTTCAGACAAGTCATGCTTGGAAAACATTCTTTTCATGTATAAGTGAAATGCTTTCCAGAGAAAAATGTCCGCTAGTACTGCACTTACTACCTAGTGCAGTAAAAAGATCGGTGGCTTTTTTCTTGCTTGCTTTTATTTGGGTTATTATAGTGGGAGGAGAGGGAGGTGCCCCCAGCCCTTTAACTGAGCTGCCTTTTAGGCTGGTCCTCCTCCCGCTACGTTTCCTCGGGCCTCCAGCAAACGCCACCCGGCTGGGAAGGAGCCCGGGGCGGCTCCAGGGGCGGCCCCGACCCGCGGCACCCGCGCGGGCCCGGGGGCTGCGCGCC